GGATTTAGGTCAGTGGTTCTGGCACCTGCCTCACAAACACAAGGACCGGAGCTCGATCCTTGGTACCAGAAAGAAAAAACGAAAAACAAAAAGCTTATGAAATCCAAAGAAATACCTGACTCATATTGACTAGCTTGGGGTGGGGCTGGGGGAGTGTTGGGTTTTGGACCCAGTCCTTGCACTTTTATTTTGACATGAGGTCTTTTTAAATTGCCAAGTTGCCCAGGTCTGGCTCAAACTTGCAATCCTTCTGTGCCTCAGCCTCCCAGGTTGCTGGGATTACAGAAGGGCACTGATGCATCTGTCTCTTTAGCTACTCAGTTTCCTAGCATTGCCCTGAGCCCGCGATGGTGAACCTTTTACAGACCGAGTGGCCAAACTGCTACCCAAAGCTCGCTTACTTATCATAAAGTGCCAACACCAATTAAACCTGAATATCCGGTCCTTGGCTCATGTGCGGACAGGGAGGCCCCTGAGTGTTCACTGTGGCACGCATGCCATAGGTTCACCTCACTGCCTTAAGCGCACCTGCCCTGTCACTCTAGGTGAGCTGTGGCTTCCTCTCTCAGTCTGTCAGACCTTCCTGCTCAGCAGGGCCTCTTGCTTAAGCCCATCTGTCCCCTGTGCATGGACATCTGCCCGTCTTTCACTTAGTTCTCCGCTGGCGTTCTATATCCCTTCTGTTACACGGCCTGGCATCCAACTATCGCAGATCCCCGACTCCACTGTGCGTCCCTGCCCTCACCAGGCCCTTCCCCAAACCCCCTCACCAGGACCAGGGCATCTCGCTGCCTTTCCCTCAACAACCCTCACCGATGCTGCCAACGTGAAGTTACCAAGACATGTCTGCCTGATCGTGCTACTCCCCTTCGGACAACTTTCAGTGGTTCCCCATTGCTCACAGTTCCCCGGCCCAAGGGCAGGCTTCGGGCACGAGCTCAGCTCTGGTGACAGCTTCACAAGACAAGAAGCTAGGCCAACTTTGTCCTCTGGCTATCAACTCTCCTGTGAGCACTAACTCAAGGGTCCCAAAAGAATTCCATTAATCCCTCCCACGAGAGGGCGGTGCCCCCAAAATGAGCTCCAACTAAGCTCCACCTCTTGAAGGCACCGCCACCTCTGTATCACTTCTCTGAGGATCAAGCTCAGATGCTTGAACCCTCAGGACAAAGAGCACTCAAACCATGTCACCATGCTATTGTATTCTTGCTTTATTTAACTGTCCTCCCTCAGTAGACAATACGTTTGTGTTCAGGAGAGTCTACATTTTCTTTATCCTTAGCATGTAGCCAGGTGTGGTGGCACACGTCTGTAATTCCAGCACTCTAGGAGGCTGAGGTAGGGGGATCGAAAGTTCAAGCCCATCCTGGGCAACTTAGTGACTTAGCAAGACCATGTTTCAAAATTTAAAAAAACAAATTTAAAGGGTTGGGATGTAACTCAGCGCAAAGGCCCTGGGTTCAATCCCCAGTACCACAAAAAAAGAAGGAAGAGAAGAGAAGGGGGAGGGGAAGGAGGAGAAAAAGAAAGAAAAGAAGCCAGGAACCCCCCTTGTGAGTCTCCAAGGTCACAGGAGATGTGCAAAACCCCTTTCTTTGGCCTCATCAGAGTGCAGCATAGGGTCTGAAAACCCATTTTCACTCTGGCGCAGAGTGAGTGACAGAAATGGAAGTTGCCAGGAACACAGGGCTTGCTGGGATCAGACCCGGAAAGTTCTGGAATAGAAGAGGTGAACCCACAGAAAGATTGCCTTGGTGCTCACAGGACCGTGTGGACATGTTTCTGTGTAATTGCAAAAGTGCATATGGTATTCGGTATTCTCTTGCTGAGGCTGACCTAACAAAGGACCACAGGCTGGAAAGGTAGTTCTGAAAGTTCTGGAGGCTGGAAATCCAAGGTCGAGAAGTTAGCAGAAGTCAAACCCTTGGAGGCCTCCTTCCTTGTGGTGTAGGCGGGCCCCTCCCCTGCGTCTTCACCAGACCTCCCCCCTGCCTAGGTGTTTCTGTGTCCTGACTGCCTCCTCTGAGAAGGACCCCAATTGTTTTGGTTTGGTTTGGTTTCCTTGTTTTGCTGTCTTTCATTTTGTCTTATTTTTGTTGTACTGGGGTTTGAGCCCTGGGCACACTACCACAATCTATTTCCACAACCCTTTAAAAAAACTGTTGTATTCTATTTTGAGACAGGGTCTTATTAAGTTGCCCAGGTTGGCCTCAAACTTGTGATCCTCTTGTCTCAGACTCCTGGGTAGCTGGAGACACCAGTCTTCTTAGAAGACCCACTGCAATGACCTAATTGTAACTTAACCTTATTTAAAGATGCTATTTCCAAATACAGTCTATTCTGAGGTACTAGAGGTTAGGGCTTCAACACAAATATGGGGGCAGAGGGGGACATAATCCAGCCCATTGCATTCATAAGGCTCTGGCTTTTTTGTTCAGTGTTGAACAAAAAACTTCCAAATATATAAAAATATATCTATGTGAGAGATTTCTTCCCATTCTCCCACTGCTTTCATCCTGTCTCAGCTGTTAAATCAATAAAAGTCTCAGCGTTTTAAAAATACCTTAACAATTTTGATATTGAACAAAGATCAGTGCCATAGCTCGTTCTCAGATGCGCCCAGCTTGATGGGATCTCATTCTTGAGAGAAAGCAGCTCCACTCAGCTCTGAGGCACAGCTGGCCTTCGGAATATCCTTGCTGGGTCTGAGCACTTCCAAGTGGTGGGAGGAGACGTCTTTTATACACTGAGACCTTCTGAGCAAGCTGGCTGGAAAGGATTCTTCTCTCTGAACTGCTGAGCTATCTGACTTTATCAGAAACAGAAGATTCTGCATCAAAGTGACTTTTCTAGAAAGTTGATCTGTCTCGTATCAAAAGAGATGATGGGAGTGGAGAAGAATCGCTGTGGCCTGCGAATCAAGAGGCCTGGGAGGTCTTCCATTATTAGCTAGAAAACCTTGAGAAGATTGCCTTACCATTTCCAACATGTTTCATCATTTGAAAAAATGAGCAACTGAATTAAAGGTCTTTGATCTCTTGCTGCTATAAAATTCTAAGATTTTAATATGAAACAAACACAGAATTTATTGCACAGGCATCTTCCTAATTTTCCCCCTCTTTCAGTATCAGGGATTGAATTTAGGGCCTTTACCCTGAGCTACATTCCTAGCCCCTTTTTTATATTTTATGTCTAGCTGGGGATTTAGCTCAGTGGTTCCACCGCCTGCCTTGCAAGTGCAAGGACTCAAGTTCAATCCCCAGTACAAAAAAAAAAAGGTAGTATATTTTATGCCTATATGTTTATATTTTTTGGTCTCGCCAAGTAACTATATTGTTCAGGATGGGCTTAAACTTGGGATCCTCCTGGCTCAGCCTCTTAGAGTGCTGGCATTACAGGTATGTGCAACCATGCCCAGCTCTAACTTACTCCCTTTTTTTGGTTACCAGGGATCAAACCGAGGATCTTGCACTCGCCAGGCAGGCAATGGAACCACTGAGCTAAATTCCTGGCCCTAACTTACTCTTAAAAATGAAGAGTATTCAATTAATCTCTGAACTTAAACACAATTGCTCATACTTTACTTTTGTAAAGAGCTCTTTTGAACTCACAGTTTTGGAGACCTAGAAGTCCAAGGTCAGACAGCCTCTTTTGCTCAGACTTTGGGGAAGAACTAGTTTTTTGGGGGGGTTTTGGGGGGGTACTGGGTATCAAACTCAGGACCTTGTGCTTGCAAGGCAGGTGTAGTGCCCCTGAGCTAAATCCCTGGCCCTGGTTTTGGCTTTTTGAGACAGGGTCTTACTGTGTAGTCCAGGCTGGACTTGAACTCAATATGTAGCTCAGGCTGACCTAAAACTAACAGCAATCCTCCTGCTTCAGCCTCCTGGGTGCTCAAGCTCACTTTTTAATAACCCACTCCCCTAGGAACTAAGCTACTTCTGCAAGACTGATTCTGCTTGACCAGTATTAATGACCCAGCCTCCTCCCACTAGGCCCCATGTTTTAAAGGTCTGGCCCCCTTTCAAGGTGGTTATATTGAGAATTAAGGTTCCAGTCTACAAACCTTTGGGAACGAAATCATATGCAAACCATAACAGCATTCAAAACATATTCTTCGGACTTGGCATTCAAGCTTTCATAACCTATGGAGTTCTGACCTTACAAAGTCCTTGTGTTCTTATATTTATTACTTGTTAGGTATAATAAATATGTACTAAAGACCTGGTGGAATGGTAGGGCCTCACACAAATCAAAATATATGACTATGAGCCAAACTGTGGAATTATAGAAGTATAAGGCACTGAGAGACTTTTGGATAGGACAAGGTTACTTTGGAATGAAGCATAACTGGGCAGGTGAAAAATCTTATGACCTCAGAACTAATCTTTGCTATTAAACAATGCCCGATTTTAGTAAACTTTCAGTGTTCCCAGAAAATTTCTCCCAACTACTTTCTTCTTCAAATTTTTTATTTTCTGTCTGTGTTTGCAATACATAATAATTATACTCACCTTAGGACTTGGTACATAGACACATTGCAACTATTTTTACCGAACTGTTTTTATTCCCTTTCCCCCTTCTCTCCCATCTACCCTTGTCCCCCTATTGTCTTCACACCCCCTCAGAGTCTCCTCTCCTATTTCCTATCATCTACCTTTTATTTTTCTCTTTAAATTATTTATATTTTGCTGAGCATGGTGGCACACACCTGTAATCCCAGCACTCTGAAGGCTGAGGCAGGAGGATTGCTTCTAGTTGGAGGCCAGCCTGAGCTACATAGTGAGTTCAAACCTAGCCTGAACTATATAGCAAGACCCTGTCTCAAAAATAAATAAAATAATGAATAAAATAAATTATTTATATTTTGGGTCTCTCATATAAAAGAAACCATGCAATATTTAATCTTCTGTGTCTGATTTATTTCACTTAGCATTATCGTCTCAAGGTGCATCCGTTTTTCCTACAAATATGTAAATTTACTTTTCTTTATTGCTGTCCAGAGTCATTTCTTCACTATGAATTCTTAGGATCTAATACCTAAGAGAGGAACTTGAATGGGGAACTCTGCCACCTTCTGCACACCTGCAGCTTTCTTTCCCAGTATGAATTCTCAAAGCTGAATCAGGCTGGGTCAACTGGAGACTGTCCCATTTTCTTTGCACTTGTAAGTTTTCTTCTTCAGTAGCATTTCCTTGCTGATGGGAAAAGGAAGGCTGAACTTTCTCCAGTTTCCTGCAGGCTTTGCACCAACAGGCTGTCTTTCCTCTACCCTCTAAATTATTTGATGCTGAAGAAATTTCCCACTTTCCCAGAATGCTTTGCCACCTAAGCTACAATTGTCTGGTTTGTTTGTTCCTGCATGAAGGTGATGCTGTATTGTCCCAGGTTTGCACACCAGCTGGAAAGCCTCTGACAGACATTACACAGGGCCTCTCTCCACCCAATTCTCCGGTGCCTAAGTAGCCCTGGGTCCAGCTGAAGACTTTTCCATTCCCTTTATGGTCGTCTGGTTTCCCTCTAGTGTAAATACCCTGATTTATGTTGAAAAAGATGTGTGAATGAAATAAAAGATTTCCCAGGTTCAAAACATTCAAAGGTGTCTCTCTAAAATCAATTATCATATTCTGAATTATTTTTTTTTCTAGAAGTTTCTTTGCATTGACCATTTTCCTCTCCCGTGTGAATTGCTGAGTATTGTTGAAGGTTTGGACTTTATAGTAGAGAGGTTTTCCCATATATACTTATTACCTTCATAGCATCTCTCTCCACCTCCAATATTCCTGTGTCTATAGGACCTGAACTTCAGTAAATATTCTGCCACATTCATATGGCTTCTCTTCAGTGGGACATCTGTGCTGTTTGATGAGACACAAAAGTTTTTCCACCCTCATTACATAAGGAAGATTTTGATCTCCCACAGAAATCCTGTAGTTTTGAGTATGTTCTGAATGCTGCTACATTCCTGTGGTGTTTCTTTTCCATAGAAACTGCCCACATGTGATCATCACTGAGCTCAGATGGCAGTTTCTCCCTCGAAGTTTCCCCATTGCTGCTCCAGGCGGCTTCTCTCATCCCAGATGGGCCCAGACACAGACATGCTGTGTGGACCACAGCCTGCCAGCATCTTCTCAACACAGCGATGAGTCGTTACACTTCTGCTTTTCAGCCAACATCTTGTTCTCACTACCGTTCTCACATGCAGAAAATGTAAATCTCACCAATGCCCTTTGAAGGAAAAGGGAAATACTGGTTGGCTAACCATGCAGTGCTGCCACCAACCTTAAGGGGTAAAGTGCTTTTGAGTGTCAAGAGAGTATGACAGTATTTGCCACTGATACTTAGCAACTTTACTCAGCATAGACAACAGAAAATACTTGGGAGTTTAACATAAATAGATGGAAAAATCCTTCTGTGAAAAGAGCTTCGAATTTTCTAGTTGACAGATATTGTGTGTATTCTTGTGGTGGTGGTGGTGGTGGTGGAACATTGTTGCTGAACATAATGCCCAGCATTCATAACTTAAAGGAGAAATTTAAATTAGCTCACTGTTTGAGGGGTTCTGTCCATGGCCAGCTGGCTCCGAGGCAGAAACATCACAGTTGAATGGTGTGGTGGAGCAGGGTTGCTTAGTTCATGGTGGCGGGGAAGCCAAATGGGAACAGAACCAGGGAGGAAAGGGTGTGGGACCAGGCGTAGACCCCAAGGTCACACCTCCATGGCACACCCAGATACCAGAAGGGCGCTTGACTAATCCCCAGGGCAGACCCCAAAGCCAATCAGTTTGACACTGCAGACTAACACCACACGTGGCAAGTTTGTTTTACTGAAGACCTACTTCTTGATGGCATCTCATGAGGGTTTCCTTCAGTATGGCCTTGAAAGAATTGACCAATGTTATTTGTAACAAATACAGTGGACCCACAGGGGATATAGCTCAGTGGCACAGCACCTGCCTGGCAAACGTGAGGCCCTGAGTTTGATTCCCAGTACAAAAAAAAAAAAAAGATCCAGTAGATCCTCAAGTTACAACCAGCCTGACATATGAACAACTTGGGTTAATTAGATTAATGGAAGATTCATCTGCCTTTTGTTATCTTTGGTGTGTACCCAGATAAATATCCAGGTCTCAGCTGTATTGACTCACAACAACCAAGTTGAGGTACAACCAGTTTGGGAACCAACTGAGTTCTTAAATCAAGGGTCCACTGTACTTAGGAGCTTGGAACTCAGGGGCAGTATGTTGGATCTGTGTCTGAATACTAAGCACTCTGATTTTAGTAAGACTAACTACCCAGAGTGCTTGGGAAGAGGAGGTAATGGGGATTATGAGGACCTAAATTCTCTGAGCCATTCCTGGTGCTGCTGCAAGTCTGCATTGTCACAACGTTTCAATTCTGGTCCTGAGGCAAAACTTCCACTAAGACTTGCTTTCCTTTATTATTGTAAGTAGACTGGGGATGATTAATTTAACGTTTCTTTTAGAGTTTGTTTTGTTTTTTTGAGACAGGGTCTCGCTATGTAGTTCAGGCTGGCCTCCAACTCACAGTGACCCTCCTGCTTCAGCCACCCAAGTGTGAGGATTATAGGCAGGAACCACCACAAGCAGCAGTTACTAGTAGATTTAGATATTTAAAATCTATATGAAGCTATTGAATACAAGGTGTGAGTGTGGGAGACCAGATGGGAGGACTGAGGCCTAGTTAGCCTCCTCGGTAACAATAAGAAAAAAAGAGGGCATGCAAGCATGCTGATGCTTGGGTACAAAAGTAAAAACACCTGAGATTAAGTTGCTTACCCAGAGAAGTAGCATGGAGTATGAGAGACAGATGACTCCTGTGTGACTCTAATTGCTTGTGCCTGTGTCTGAGTGAATAAAGCCAAGGTGTGACAGTCACTTGGGGCGCTATGTTGAAGGGACACATGAGCCTCCTGCCTCCCCCCCATATTTTAACCTGATTCTGTGTCTCTTTGCCTCTCCTCCTTGTCACCCTTGGTCAGGTTCAAGCTTGTAGGCTGTTTCCTACATGACAGTGAATGTTCAAAATTTTTTGAAAGTATTACACTAAAAGACACATTGCCATGAATCTCCCTCAAAATGCTCCCCCTCACTTTGTTTTATTTGTATGTTTGTTTTTGTTGAGGGGGTTGTTTTTGCTTTTTTTGAGACAGGGTCTCGCTCAGACTGTCTTTAAATCACTATGTAGCACTGGCTGGCTGGAACTCACGGCAATCCTCCCGCCTCAGCCTCTGAAATGCTGGGATCACAGGCATGTGCCACCAGGCCCAGCAATCCCCCTCATCTTGAACACACTCATACCATTGTTCTGGCCACTTTCTGGAACAGTTCTGGAAATCCCTTTCATAAATGTCTTTGGTTGTTCTGCTGTGGCTGCTTCAATGTCCTGAAGAGATTCAAAACGTTTCCCTTTCATGATCATTTTGACTTTGAAGAAGAGCCAGAGGTCCCACAATGCCAGATCTGGTGAAAAAGGTGGATGAGGTCATGTTTTTATGAGCCTGCATTTCTGTTGAATGGTACAAAGCAGCAGCGTTCACCATATTTTTGATTACTCCTTGTAAAGACACTTAGTAAAGAGAACCTCCAGAACTACTTCAGAAAGGGGCAAAAGCTGGGCATGGTGGTGCATGCCTATAGTCCCAGAACTTGGGAGGCAGAGGCAGGAGGATTGCAGCAAGTTTGAGCCGGTCTGGGCTACATAGTTCAAGGCCAACCTGAGCTACATAGTGACATAGTGAGACCCTATCTCAAAAAAAAAAAAAAAACGAGAGAGAGAAAGAAAAAAAATAATAAAAAGGAAAGTGGCAAGAACAATGGGATAAGTGCGTTGGAAGCAAAGGAAGTATTCAGGGGGACTTGTGGCAATATGTCTTTTAGTGTAATACATTTTTTATTTAAACATTAACCATTATTTTGATCACATTGCCTATGGTAGAGACATTGTCAAAAATAATAGTTGCAACTGTTACCTTTCTGATCCCAGGGAGGCAGAGACCAAGAATGTCATCCTTCACCAACAGAGGTCAATTCTAGACTCATTTCTCTACCAATAATTTGCCAAAGGGTTAGAATAAGAGTGAATACATCTGGACTCTTGGGTAACTTAATACTTATAATTGGTTTAAAAAATTGATAAATTTGTTGGACTTTGGGAAAAATAGTGAAAAATAAAACGGAACATTACTGATACATATTTGATTTATCAGGAAGTAGTCTCAGGGATACCAATAAAGGCAGCCACTTCTTAGCCCAACCAGGAAAGCACCCAGTTATGAGCACCTAACCACAAGGTTTGTGTACAATGATCTTGTATGATGGGGGCTGGGGGCAGCAGTGGGGATTGAACCCAGAGCCTTCACACTGAGCTACGTTTCCAATCCCCCATCTTTTTAGAGACAAGTTTTCCCTAAGTCACTAAGTTGCCCATTCTGGGCTGAAACTTGCAATCCTCCTGCCTCAGTCTTCCAGAGTTCTGGGATAACAAGTGTGTGCCACACCTGGCTAGCTTTTTTTTTTTTTTAGGTACCGGGGATTGAACTCTGGTCCTTGGGCAGGCGGCAGAACCTCTGAGCTAAATCCCTGGCCCTTAGCTTTTATGATTTTTGTCATTAAATCATTCTTCTGGCTCCAAGTCACAAGGTAGACAGAAAATGGGCCCAAACGAATAGACAGGAAGTTGACCAACAAGAAGTGAAAAATGAAAAGAGGAAGTCCAAGAGCGGAGCCAAGGTTACACAGAACAAGATTTAGGGAGACGCTTCATTGTCAGTACACAGATGACAGTGAACACCCCACATGACCAAAAACTAACAAAAGGGAAAAAGAATAACAGAAAAGCTTAATTGCAAGGAACTAAAAGTATAGTAATTGCAGTGAAGAACAGCCTTGCCTATTATCTCTAATACCTTGTTAGAGTTGAAAATAAACTTCATTTAAAATGTCATGTGCACCGGGCATGGTGGCGCACGCCTGTAATCCCAGCACTCGGGAGGCGAAGCAGGAGGATCGCTGTGAGTTCGAGACTAGCCTGGACTACATAGTGAAGTTCCAGGTCAGTCTCAACTACATAGCGAAACCCTGTCTCAAAAAACAAACAAAAAGAATGCTGCTACAGTTAATCTTTGCCTGTGGCAAAAAAAAAGAAAGAAAAAATTTGTCTTTATTTTCCTTGGCTACTGTTTGACCCCTTCCAGAAATCACAGACCACTCATTTACTACGCTGTTTCTCTTCCAGTCTCGCCGAGCCCAGCCCCTCCGCGAACCGAGCGGACTAAGCGGCGAGCGCGCTTCTCACATCCAGTCCCGGCTCCTCTAGGCCCCGCCTCCCCACGGAAGGCGGCTATTGCGCAGACGCCGAAGCCTTTGCGTAGGCGTACCACCAGGACCTCCAGACCACCGAGCCCTCTTCCTAGAGTAGTCCCTGCGGGGGCCCCCCTTCTCCCTCCGTTACTCACCTCCGAGCCAACTCAACAGCCACCCAGAAGTGCAGGTGTCCGGAGGTCCTGAGCGTCGGTTTTGGGCACGCCGTTACTCTTTCATTCACCCAACTGACAATCCTCTGGTGCTTTGGTAGGGAGATGACCGAGGCGCAGTCTGTCCGCATACAGAACTATAGGACTGGGTGACAGATGCGGTGCTCCAGGGTACGGGATACTGTACCTCCAAGGAGCCGGAGGGATGGCAGGAAGCGCTCCTGGAGAGGTAACATCCCTGGGCCCTGAAGGATGGAGCCTGCGGCTGGCAGAGTGTTGCGAGTAGAAGGGGGATTCTGCACCGAAGAAAGGCGGCCGGCACAAAACGGCCTGCGCGTGCTGGATCTTGAGTGCCCGGAGCTGAAGCTGGAAGGTAAGCAAGGGGGACCCGTGTGCACGATGGAAATTAATCACTACCCCGAGTAGCCTCGGCAGTACTTCAATCAGAACACGGGAGCTTTGCTCCTGAAATACAGCTGGAAGCCATTGTGGTGACAGAATGGAGGCGGGGACAGTCTGGCACATTTACTTATAGTAATTGACTCTGTAGGATGTAACTTTCATGAAAGCAAGGACTGTGTCTGTTTGGTTCTTTTCTCTTGTCTAGCGTTTAGGAGAATGCTTGGCCCTTAGTAGATCCTTAATAAGTGTTCACTGGAATAGTGGAAGAAGGAGTTTGC